TGGGGCCGGGCCCCGGGGGTTGGGGGGGCGGGACCAGCCATGGTGCAAGAGCCCCACATCAGTGGCCAGTGCCTCCCTTGCTCCTGGCTGTGCCCACCACGGGTTTCTCTTTGATCCCTTCAGATGTCCAGATGCCGGAGCATTGTGGATGCTGCAGGGCAGGGGGGTGGCACAGCCCGGAGCTGAGCAGCAGAGACACTGTGGAGTGCAAGGGAGGCACAGGGGTCTGCTGGGCCTGGGGATGGGGGACAGGGACAGCACTGGGACCTACCTGGGATGAGGCGGGGGAGGCGGTGGTCAGACATGCTGTCTCGCAGAGCCCAGCAAGCCCTGCAGGCTCTGCCGGCCACTGCTCACGAGTCAAAAGGTCATCTCCACAATAGAGCTAATTCAGGCCAAGACACTGCCTTAACGAGCAGGGAGCAGATAATCTCATTAAAGAGCCAATACAGAGAACAGCATTAATGGTATAAACTGAAGAAAGGACTGAGTGTGCTAAAGCGCGGGCAGGCAGAGCCTGTCCCTCCGCTCAGCAGAGAGGGTGCGGGGCAGGAATCGTGCTTGCTCTGCCCGCAGCAGCCCTGTCCTCGGCATCCAGCAGCCCCTGGGTGCTTCAGGCCAGGCTCGGGGCATCCCACAGGACTCTCTGATGCACCAAAGCTGCTTAATCCCTGCAGCGTGCCTGTCCTGGGGAGAATTCCTGAGCCAGCAGCAATCGTAGCTCTACACGCCTCCCTTCCTGCCTTGTTCAGCCGTTCACTGTGTCTGAAAAACCTGCTGGGCCACAACCAACTGCATTCCCCAGGCCACAAAAGCTGGGCTAGGTGTGGCTGCTCTGTCTCCTCTGCCAACCTGGAGTTCATAGAAGTCTTTTCCTCTCCTCCCACTGGAAAAAAAACACCAACAAATGCTCAGGTTTCATGCAATGGTGGGGAAGCTTTATCTCATGCCAGAGGCTGCAGCGCTGACTGGAGGCTGCAGTGCTGCAGAGGTATGGGGGGGGTGATGACCAGTGTTTTGGCGCTGGTGTGATAACTGTTTCCACCTCTGCTCCATGCTGTGCCCAAGCGTGGAGGGCTCTGGCTTGCAGCAGCTCAGAGCAGCCAGCTCCTGGGCTGAGCCGCTCTTCTTTCTCCTTCCCAGGTGATTGTCTGCTTTGGTATTGCAGTGCTGCTCCATCAGTACGTTGGGTTTGCCCTCGTGGCTTTACTGGTGGAGGTTAACTCCATCTTCCTCCACCTGCGGCAGATCCTGCTCATGGCCAACCTGGTGCACACCACCTGCTACCGCCTCAACAGCATCGTCAACCTGGGCACCTACGTGGTGTTTCGCATCGCCACACTGGCCTGGATGACCCGCTGGCTTTTCCTCAATCGGGAGAACGTGCCCATGGCAACATACGCTGTAGGCACGGTGGGTATGGCAATCATGACGCCTATGAACATCATCCTCTTTTACCGCCTGCTGCGTAGTGACTTCTTCAAGTCCAGCCGGGATGTGCATCGGGAGAAGGAGCAATAGCCCCGCTCCCTGCAGGGCCTGGGGGACAAGTAGCCCCAAGCCCGTGGAGGAGAACAGCAAAGCACAGTGGAGAGTGAGCGTGGCTGTTTCAGTACCTTGCGTGGAGGGTTCGCACTAACAGATCATCCAGGCTTTTCTTGTGGCTGCAGATCCTGGGCCCTGCACAGCAGAGAAGGTGCTCATGGACCAGGCACTGGGGCTGTGCTCTCCCCTGCACCTTTGGATGACGTGGTTGGACAACTGGGAGCTGCTCAGAGAAGCCTCAACAGCTCTCGCAGCTCCCCGGGGCACTGCTGAGACAAGAAAGGAGCAGAAGAGCACTGTTTCCCTACTGCTTTTCCAGACATCCGAGCACCACAGTGTGTTTCTAACCCCTTTGGTGCTGCATCCTGCAGCGTCCCATCAGCCAGGGGACACTGTGCTCAAACCCCGTGTTCTCTTTGGCACTCCCCATGGGAGCACCACCAGGCAAGAGATGCTCCAAGGCTTCACCCTCAAGGCGAGGGCCAGTAAAAGTCAAATCCTGCACTCATGAGTCCTCCCCAAGGAGATTGTCCCAGGTGGGTGATGGAGGGAGAGGCTGAGACCTGTCTGGGTGGGATGCTGCCCGCTGTGGGCTGCAGGTCGGGGGCAGAGCACTGGGCAGTGGGTGCTGCGGTGCTGTGCTTGGGGATGGGCTGCTGACTTCTCCTGACAACTGGAGCTTTTTCTGTGTTGTTTTGTTCCCAGATATGTTAAGTGCCCATAAATAAGCATGGGAGAACGTGAGTCGCTGGCCAGGATGATGCCATGTGATGGTCACTTCCCACAGATACGGAGTTTTCAGGCATAGGCATCTATTAGGATTTAGGCATCGATTAGAAATTAAAAGTTCTGCTGCAGAGCCCAGTGTAATGCTCTTACCCAGCAGCAAGAGCTCTTACTAACACGAGCTTTTAATACATGGCTGCAAATGAAATGGCTTGAGGGGAAGGGGCTTAGTGTGAAAAAGGGACTCGGCATCCCAGCCTGCTCCAGGGGTATCACTGCTTAGCACAGCGCTGCTTATCCTATGTCTCCCCACCACAGAGCAAAAATACACTGTACACTGGCACAGTCTACCTCTCTTGGAGTTTCTTCCCCTTCTCCTTTCTACAGAGGAAGATGAAGGCTGTCGCTTTCCTGCCCTCCTAGGCAAGGGGAGGCTGCGCTTTCCTTGGGGCTGGCAACTGGGGAGGCTAAATGGCTAAACCAGGACAAGCTCCCACCATGGCTCTGCCTTTAGCCCTGCTGCACCGAGCCACTTGCATCTTGCGGGGTTAGGAAAGTGCCGGCTGTGAAATAGGGCAGGCTGCAGGCAGAGTGCCCAGCACGTGGCTTCACTGCTCTCATTCCTGACGCTGGGCACCAGCTTGCAGCAAAGCTAGGATCCTTGTGGTTTGCTCTGCCTGTCCCTGGAGGATTCCTAGGACAAGAAATCAGAATTTTTTAATTTTTTTAACTCCACGTTCCCTTTTCCCCACTGATTCACACACACTGAACTGTTCCCCAGTAGCCCAGCACTGTGTAATAAAAGCAAGATCATCTCCCTCGGGGTTATGCATACCAGTTTTGAGAAATCCACTGGATCTGTCGTGCTTTCTGTGTGGCAAATAACTTTTAACTCAAAATCTCTCCTTTGGTTTGAAAAGCTGGGGGACAGGCTGAAACAATGCGCAGCTCGGAGTGGGTGGCACTTGTTTCGAGGAGGAAAATAAAGGAACAGACACATTTCTGCCCGGGCAGGGAAAGACGAGCGATGTGTGTGGGCAGTGGGAGGCTGGAGACGACTCGTGGCCAAAGCCGCTTACACTTCTATTTGTGGAGAGCACAGGGAAGCTTGCAGGTGCTGGAGACACCTCCTCTGTGTTTGGGTTTGTCACCTTGAATGGTGGTTGTGTCCCTGTGTGCCACTCGCGGCTCCCAGCCAGAGCAGAGATGGTAGCCAAGGCTTTCTCTTTGGATTGACATATTTACGTCCAGTTTTTCAGGAGCTGCTCCGCCGATCCCTGCCCTTAGCACAACCTCTGCTCCCGCTCAGCAACGCTTGGCTCTGTCCTCCGGCCTCTGCCCACACCAGGGATGTTTCTCAAGGCCAGGATTGTGTTACCACATTCCTACCATCACGTGGATGCCGTGTACCCTGGGGCACGTGTGGTCGTGGGCCAGGGAAGCCTGGTCTGGGAGTCAGACGTGATTTTCCCACAGTGCTACAGTGGGATAAGCGGCAGCTTTGCGGCTCACTGCGGCCAGACGCCGGGGGTACCCTGCGCTCGTCTGTCCTGATGAAAAGCGCCGCAGCTTTGGTTCGAAGGGCTTTGGGAAGGGACGTGCCCCTTTAATCCCCCCATACAGGGGTTCATGGGGCTGGAGGGAGCATCTCCATCAGGGAATTAATTAGTCACCGGGCAGCTACACCCCGGCCTGCCACCCACCTGCACCCCCTTCAGCCCCGTCCCGCATCCCAAAGCCCGTATCCCCCCAGCACCGGCCCCTCTCCCCACGGGGACCCCTCACCCTGCCGGAGCCCTAAGGTAAACGACCGCCCGGCTGCAGGGTG